GTAGCACGTGCCCGAGCCAATGCAACTTATTCAGTGATATCTGTTGTTCTAGGGAGCTAGCATGATTATTACTACCTAGTACTCGCTTACGCACATCATCCTTTCAGACACGCTGGTGCCATCCGACACCAGCAATGCTTCGCAAACAACGATGGTCAAAGACTTGAAGGCGCCTCAGATCTTCAGACCGAAGGGGCCCTCACTGTGATCTTGTATGCACGGCCTTTCAGACGGAGAGGAACTCCCTTCTGTCGCCAAAGATGCCGCAGGTTCAAGAAGGTAGCTCTGGCTTTTGCAATGCGTGAGCTCACGTCAGTTTCTATGCGCCTATCATTACTGATGCAGCTGCCAAGATAAATGAAATTATCAACCACCTCGAGTTCCTCGTTAGCCAGCGTCAAGTGGTCATCAAGTGGCTGGTGGTCCTGCAGCAACACTTTGCACTTTGAAGGTGCGAAGTGCATACCAAATAATGGGACCACTCTGGACAGGCTATTCAGGGTTGATTGTGTCGCCCCAACATTAGCGAAAAGCAAGACGATATCGTCCGCATAATCAAGATCAACTAACCTTTCACCAGGCAGCAGTTCAACACCTACATCGTGAGATTCCGCAAGGGAACACTCCATGATAGAATCCACGACGAAAGTGAAGAAAAACGGGGAAATCGGACAACCCTGACGAACGCCAATTGTGGTCGGAAAGCTATCCGATAGGACATCTTAGACCCTGACGCGGCCTCTAGTGTTCGAGTATGGAGCACGAAGAATGTTCACATATTTCGTGGGAACACCTTTCTGCGCAAGTATTTCGAACAGAATCGATCGATCGACTGAATCAACCGCACTCTTGAAATCGAGGAACATAGCTATTGTCGGTCTGCGGTATGCGTGGCGCTGCTCTAACACCTGCCGCAAAGTGAATATATGGTCTATACAGCCACGCCCTGGGCGAAAATCGGCCTGCTCTTCCCTAATCCGAGATTCCCGTTCTGCAGTGAGGCGACGAACGAGAATCGAGACCAATAATTTTGTCACAACTAGCGTTGGGCTAATACACCTGTAGTTAGAACAGTCTGTGCGACTGCCCTTCTTGTATATTGCCACTATAATCGATTCGCTCCAATTAGCCGGCACACTCCCTTCCTTCCAGATACATTCGAATAAGGAAGTCAGTGCTTTGCAGAGGACCTCACCTCCATCCTTAAATAGTGCAGATGGGAGGGAATCCGGGCCAGCGGCACGAAAACGATTGAGGGTTGTGATCGCGTTTCGGACCTCGGCCTCCGACGGAGGCTCTAAACAAACCGTCCATGGCTCGTCCTGTATCACCTGAGTAGGAAGAGGTCCGGGAGCAGGGGGCCAGCTGAACTGATCTTGAAAGTGTTCCGCCCAACGAGCCATACGGCGCTCCTTATTGTGTATCAGCGCATCCGCGCTGTCTCTGGTTATCTCACTGACGCCTGGTTTCCTGGAACCAGTGGTGCGGATTAGCTGGAAGAGCTTGCGGTAATTGCCTACTGCTCCTGTCTCCTCCATTTCTTGAGTCCTACTGGTCCACCAAGCTTCTTTGTCAGCAAGCAGGCTCTGCTTTAGTTCACGCCTAGTAGCTCGTCTGGTCACATTGTGTTCAGAGCCAGCCGGGAGGTGTCTTCTAGATTCCAACAGGTTCACGGACCTCTCCGATATCCAGTGACTGGTGCGGTGACGACTGATAGTGCCACAAACAGATGCTCCTGCATCGTGCATGGTGGCCGAGATCCTATTCCACTGAAGCTCAGTGTCAGTAGGACAAGACAGCGGAAGTTCGGTATGCAGTGCTTCTTGATAGGCTTGCCTGACGGAGGACGGAGACAATTTCTCAGTTGGCAATAGTAGGGGACGCTTGGTGCGCCCCCCGGTAAAGTTCATGGATAAATGGCAGCCTACTATGACATGATCAGAGTCGACGCAGGCATTTCAGTACGAGCGGCAATCCAGGATGGAACCACGCCACATGTAACTTATGGCGATGTGGTCAATTTGGGTCCATCGTTGGCCAGCTACAGGAGGACGCCAAGTGGCACTTCGGCGCCCATTGTATCTAAAAGCAGTGCTACTAAGAAACAACCGGTGCTCCGCACATAGTTGCAGCAGACGCTCGCCGTTGTCAGTCCGTTCGGAGTTAAGCCCACAATTACCACCCAACTGAGCTTCTGAAGAGCTCAGACGCCCTATTTGTGCGTTCATATCCCCTGCAAGTACTATAATATCTGAACTAGTAGCACTGCGTAGTAACGCGTTCAGTTCGTGATAGAATGTGTCTTTGACAGTATTAGAACTGCAGTCGGTGGGAGCATAAGCAGAAATCACAAACAAACAGCGTTTTGTACTACTTCGCGAATTCACCTTAGCTGATGTCGTCAAACGGGCAGCACATAAGCGGCTGTTCACCGGAATCCAATCAAGCAACGATGGTACAGCGTTGGAGCTTAGAATGATACCTACACCAGCTTGACCCGTGAGTGCCGCATCGGCGTCTCCGGATGCGTGCAACCAATAACGAGAGGATAAGCCGGGTGCAGTTAATTCAATAACCCCGTTAGTGTCATTGATCCTAGTTTCTGACACACAACACACATCAATTCCCAGTGTGTCCAAGTGTAGACTGTGGATCTGTCTGTCTTAGAGTGCGAACGTTGAATGTCGCCATGGAAACGGGGTAGCGTGGCCTTATAAGGGACTTTTGCCGATAGGCATCCGATAGGTGCGGTGGGATGGTGGCTGCAGATGGTTTTATTCCAGTGGCACTTCGGTTGTTGTCAATTAAGCTGGGAATTATAGAAGGAAGGTTAGTAATGAGGGTCGGGATGGAGTAAGAGAAAAAGGTAGAAAAGAAAGAAGAGAGGCGCCAGCAGTAGCATGTTTTCGCTTATACGCCCTACTGTATGCAGCAGATAAGGCGACCTTTGATAATCTGCGCGACGGCCGATGCAGGATGAAGTTTATGTTTGAAGAAAATGTCATGGTTGTATGTGGGCTGAGATACTGCCCAGACCTAGACAGGAGGACGATTAGGGTCCTCATCCAAAGCCTTTGGCTCAAAAGCATGTCCGCAAGGCAGCGGGGAGGTGGCAATGATTTCGTTTTACAGAAATGGACGCCATCTCATTTCAAACCCCTAACCTGGAGGACCAGGAGATTGAGTTTGTCTGACCTCTCACTATTGACCACCCTGGTAGGAGTAGCTCCCAAGGTGCCCGGAGGCACCACCCAGTACAGCTCCATGGGTTAATGAGGTAGGCAAACCGTCGCACCACGTTAAGGTCCAGTCTCGTTACGACGGTATGAAGTGAGTTGGTTAGCAACGAATCGGCGATAAGTACAAAATGTCCACAATTTATTCGAAAAGTGCTACAAACGCAATCAAGTTAAAGAAGATAATCACAATTAGCGTAATCAACGTGTCCAGGTAACAAAAGATTATTCAGGTAGGTAGAACAAACCAAATAAGCTGGAATAATATTTAGCTAGCTCAAGAGGACTTAATTTAAGTGCAAGTTGGTTTAGCCCAACTGCGGTGAAGAAGCACCATGAATGTAACATCAGCCTCGATTAAGGCAATAGCATACGCTCCCCCGGTGCCGAACAAGAGCCATGTCATGTGACGTCTTGAGTGCCCCGGCCGCAGAAGCGAGACCGACTAACGGCCTTCAGGCCAACCATTAGCTACTTTATTTCCCGCCGACCTTCGTGAGACTCGTGCATATCTACGTCCGGCAAACAAAACAACGCCCTTCCTCCCAACGGTGAGCGGGCATAAGTAGCAAATATCCAAGCAAAGGAAATTCAACTTTATTCGTTTCACTAAGAAACTAACTTGCCTAACATCGCACAGTTCTCTCATGCGAATAATATCGTTACTGATACGCTGACGCTATCCGACATCGGTAATTCTCCCTAGGTAACGGTCATCAAAGAACCGAAGGTGCCACAGATCATCAGGCCGAAGAGACCAAGTCTCAATCCTGTCAAACAGTGACCCATATTATGGTCAGTATAAATCGCCGTTGAGACCACAAATGTTTCAATCTCAAGTAAGTTGAGTTTAATGTAGCAGTTGCGCGTCCGTTGCTGTTAATGCGGTTCCACATCGTCAAGACTCCGCTTATCATATGGTTGGTAGTCCTGCAACTGTCCTTCGCATGCTAAAGATGCGAAGTTTACGTCAAACGATAATAGTCTAGGGAGTTTATACACCAAGACTATACTTCCCGTACAATGGAGATGGAGCAATTTTCCCCAATGGCAGTACCATAGTGACTACATTGTGAGACTTCATAAGGGAACACTCCATGATGAAATTTATGGCAAAATTTAACAAGATGGGGAAATGGGAGAACCCTGGTGAACATAACCTGTCGTCGGGAAAAAGCTTGATAATTTGTATCGGATCCCAAAAAGACTTGTGACGTTCGACTGGAGCGTAAGTAAACCTTTCAAAAAATTGCAGAGAACGAAGCAATCAGAGTCGAACGAGCTGAAAGTGGAACTGTAAAGCATCAAACAATAGCTTAGCTCAACGGAAGTATGCGTCGATTGGCTACAAAGTGCCAAGAGAACGCTAAAATATAAGCTATGTTCCATCTGAAAAGGAAGCCATGTGAAACACCCCAATCAACAGCAGCTGAAGAGCTCTTTAGAAATGAAACGCAGTTAGCGCATGTGGAAAAGGCTGAAACAGTACACAGTAAACTCAGGGACATCAGTGCTGCTGAGTGGCTAACGATGATAAGTGGGAGGCTCCCACATCTCCAGGGGCCACCCGTGGTATCGAGATTGGCCGTGAGCAGTGAATAATTGACGTGACCAAGAGTAGCTAGCTGGTATACAGCAAAGGGCAGAAACTACGGATATTTATGTTACAGAAATAAGGCAATTAAATGGGTTAAAAGGGTCGTGAATAAATAATAGTAACAGTGCAATACAATTTATAAGAATACATACTAACATAGCACTCACTCGTAGCTCCTTTTGACAAAAGGTAAGATCACATGGGAAGGTGACAAGGTAAGAGTCAAACTCTGTCGCGCTGAGTGGAAGTTGTGTCGAGATACCAGTAGGATCTTTTGGTGCAACAAGGAAATATTTAAAGAAATTAATGTTACCTCCATGGAGAACATAGTTTTGAAAATTACATTCCCCGTCTCTGAGGACGACGGTTATCTCTTCGGAAGATTGGCGGAAGTTTTGCAGTACCTCACAGAGGACTCTAAAAGTAACGCAACGAGTTAGCCGGATACACGGGATAACTCACTTAGTGGAGAGGACCAAGTGGTTGGCCGACTGCTCTGGTGAACACACGGCCTCCAAATGTTCACATTCAATGATCGACATGTTGAAAGTTTTAACAATACCGTATTTACAAAAAAACTGCACGACCAAAACGGTTGCATTCGATGTCAACAAAATGCGACACTTCTGAACTGTCCGTTCCAGTGTGCTGGATAGTTTAAATACATTCGAGCAAGACTGGTATCAGGTGACCATCAGGACCGCTAGCGAGTGGACCACTTACTCGACTTGGAATCTTGAAACGCAGTGAACTACTCGACTCGATATCTGTGACTTTTACAAAAAAGTTGTGCTTGAAAGTAACAGCAGCATAAGCGGACCTAGAGGAGTTGACAGTCTTTAAAACAAGCTATATGGATGAAGAGTGGAGAATAAGGTGATCAACTTACGCCGTCTGAAGTCCAATCAAAATAGATTTCTTGACCAAGTTTACCCAGTGAATTTATGCATCTTATAAATACTGACGGTGTTAGTGAATATGGACAGTGCCAACATCTGACAATACCTTTCAGCTCTGTTTGGTGAAAGGAAAGTTTCATTTCATGATACCAACAAAGATCAAGTCCAGGTGCAAATCGAGGGTTGAGCGTTATGAGGCCATTCGGAATGGAAGTATTGAACAAAGAGTAGATGCTAGAATGAAAAGAGAGGTAATCTTACGGTGATATTAGCCAGTGACCAAGGGACAAGCAGCATACATACTGTAGTATCACGAGCGGATCCAGTAGATATCAGCATACATGTCCCCTATTGCACTGAGACTTGAAGTGTGTGATATCGAGAAATACAGAAGAAATTGAAAAGCCATGTTTACTGAACTCTTCAGGCATCTGCAACTATTCCAGTTCGGAAAGCACGTAGCAAAGCTGTTGTGGTTGTCGTTGAATATACAGCTAATCTGCTGCTACCGAGCAGTATAGAGGAAGATGCGTTAAAAAAACATTTTTTCCGCAGTGACATTGCGGCGTGACCATATAGAACAGTGTTTGTCGAGCTCAAGGAAGAACAACCGAACAAGGATTTTAAAACCACGACCAGTAGCTCGCGACAGTTAGATGGACCAAACAAACTCAGCAACATGCAGCGGTTCATCGTTATCATCATCGACATATTGACTGACGCCTAGCTGTTGTACCACAAAAACGACCTACGAAACGAAGGATAATAACAAGGATAGAAGTGAGACCCAGAGTAAAACCTTAATGTCCCATACAAGCATTCAGAATAAGGCGCCTACGCCTTGTGTCAACAACACCGTCACAACCAGATATCTATCGTGCAAAGATAAGACAGCGTCGGCGAGACAATTTCTTTGTGGCTTTCACTGCCCCGCGTCATAATCAGCCATTACCTCCAAGTAAGTCAGCAATCCGACTACGAGAGGGCAGTAGATACGACGCAAGTGCCGACTGCGAGCCGTTCTGTAAAATCTCGAGCCAAGTACAAGGTGGGTCACGTGGGCTCCAGCCTGGAAGGCGAGACGGACCGACGGCGACCAGTTTGGCCGTCTATGACTTTAATTCCCGTTGCCAAGTCAACTTTTGGCCCCGTCGGGCCCTGCGCCACCAGGTGTCTGGCAAACAAAACTAGGCCCTCCTCGATAAACGGTGACCGCGCATACTTAGTAGGTGCCCAAACCGACGTAGCTTATTCAGTGCTATCTTGTTCTAAAGAACTAGCATGATAATCCGACTTGCACTCGCCTACGCACATCGTCGTCGAGGACACGTTGTGCGACCCAACACCAGCAATGCTTCAGACAACGATGATCAAAGGCTTGAATGCGCCACAGGTCCTCAGATCGAAGGAGCTACGTCTCTCTCCCATAGAATAGGAGGGCTCTCGCTGTGGCCTTGTAAACACGGCCTTTCGGATCAAGGGTAACCCCTTTCTGACACCATAAATGTCGAAGATGCAAAAAGGCAGGTCTGTCTTTTGTAATACATGAACTGACTTTAGTTAGTATGCCCCATCGTTGATGATGCATTTGTTAGATAAGTGAATTGATCAACTACCTCAAGTTCCTCGCTATCAGGTGTCATTAGATGATCAAGTGACTGGTGGTCCTGAACAACATATTGCATTTTGAGAGTGCGAAGCGCAAGCCAAATGATGGGACCACTCAAGAGAGGTTATCCAAGGTTGATGGTGCCTCCCCAACATCGTTAAATAGCAAGACGATATCGTTCGCATAATCAAGATGAACTAGCCTTTCACCAGGTAGCACACCAACGCCTACAAGGTGAAATTTCCTGAGGGAACACTCCATGATAGAGCCCATAACGAGGTTGAACGAAAATGGGGAAAGTTGACAACCTTGACGAACGCCACTTGTTACCAAGACTATATCCGATAAGACATCATAGACCCTGATGCACCATGTCGTGTTCAAGTATAGAGCCATGGAAGTATTCACATATTTCATACGGGATGCGTGGCTCTGCTCTTGTCCCTGCCACAGAGTGAATATATAATCTAAACAGACAAGTGCTAGGCGGAAGTCTGCTTTTCCCTAAACCAACATTCACGTTACGCAGTGAGGAGACGAACGAGAATCGACGTCAGTAATTTTGTTACAACTGGCGTTAGTCTTATACCGCTGTGGTTAGCAAAATCCGTGCGACTGCCCTTCTTGTGTGTTGTCACTATAATCGAGTCATTCAAGTTAGGCGGGACACTCTCTTCCTTCGAGATAGGTTCGAATAGGGAGGTCAGTGCTTTGTAGAGGACCTCACCTCCATCCTTAAATAGTGCAGGTGCGATGGAATGCGGGCTAGCAGCAAAAAAAATGATTAAGGGCTGCAACTGCGTTTCGAACCTCATCCTCCGATGAAGACTCTAAACTAGTCGACCATGGTTCATCATGCATCACATGAGTAGGAAGAGATCGGGAAGCAGGAGGCTAACTGAACCGACATTGAAAGTACTCCGCCCAACTATCCATACGGTGTTCCTTATCGTGAATCATGGCACCCGAGTTGTCTCTGATTGTCTCGCTGACGCCTGGTTTCCTGGGACCAGTGCTGAAGATCAGCTGGAAAAAGTTACGATAATTGCCTACAGCTACGGCTTCCTTAATTTCCTCAGGTCTACTAGTCCACCAGGCTTCCTTGTCAGCACGCAGGCCCCAAGTTAGTTCGCGCCCGATATTCCGTCTGGTAACAGTTTGCCCAGAGCCAGCTTGGAGTTTTCTTCTGGATTCCAACAGGTTCACCGGGAGTATAAAGCTTATCTTGAGCTGACTTGACTTGAATTCACGGATATCGAATGACCGATGCGGTCACGATTGATAGTGCCACAAGCAGAGGCTTTCGCACCGTGTATGGTAGCTGAGATCTTATTCCACTGAAGCTCAGTGTCATTAGGACGAGAGAGCGAAAGTTCGGTACGCGGTGCATGCTGTTAGCCTTCCCTGGCCGGGAAAGAGAGAGGCGCTTGGTACGCCTCCCAGTAAAGTTCATGGAAAAATGGCAGCGTACCAATGCATGCGCAGAGTCGACGCAGGTATTACAGAACCGGTGACAGTCTTGGATGGAATCACGCCACCTGTAACTTATGGTAATGTGACCTCTCCAACGCATGAGACTAGACTTCACCGTGGTGCGATGGTTTGCGTGCCTCAAAGATCCATTGAGCTGTGCTAGGTGGTGCTTTTCGCATCTTCAGCATCAATCACACCAGACTGATCAAGGATTAGAGGCCTGACAGATTCAGCCTCATGGCCCTACAGTTTTCGGGTTGGAGTGAGGGTGGTCCCTTATTCCTTAAAACGGACGCTTCGTAGCCCACTGCCAAACCCGCTTCCGTAATGATGACGGTGAGCGATTATTTCATTTATGTGCAGATGCCCGCTTATTGCTTGCGAGCGCTAATTTCCTACACGGCGCCCATTAACCTTAGACCAGCCTTGGACGCAAATCCATCACGTTGCGATCACACACACACTATACACGTTAGCTAGAGGTGGGAAACATCTCAGCTACTGTGCCGCAATACCAAAAGATAAAAGGGAATAAAATGCAAGAGATGCAAGCCAGCTGAGCTACCGGTAACGGATAGGCATCGTGCCAGTAAGCTATCTGCCGGCTACTATGCAGCAAAAAAATAATAGTTTACTATGCAGTTATAAAACGCTAAATAATGAAATCGTGGATGGAGGGGGAGACTAAGAGGAATGCAGTGGGACAAAGAAACTCACAGCATGAACGCCATTGAGGTCGGCTCCTAGACATATCAACAAGTGTATCCAGCCAAACGTGTTCATCGTCCTTCAGACCCCAAAACAGGGAGCCGAGACGCTCCAACCGAGGCCAGCTCCGAAGTGACGGCCTTCATTCCTCTCGACCAAGTCATCGCTTGGCCACCTCTTCTCTTCTCCTATCCACAATCCCGGCGCGCAAACAACGCACGTCGCGGGAGTCGGCTGGCTGGCATGCGTAACATGTGGTAAAACCACCGGAGCCTGGCGCGTGAAATAACGGTGCTAAGCGGTTCTTTTTTTTCCTGTGCCGTAAACAAGTCGTCGAACATGCTCGTTACTCACGCGGTGTTCCCACCAGATGTGAGCTAAATTGCGAAGGCACCGGTGGTCGAACGTAACTAGCCTTCTTATGCCCGTTTTTCTAAAGGGCCAGGTTTCACGACCTTACAGTAGGGACGAAGGTACCGTTGCATTGTACACTCTACCCTTCAGGGCGAGGGCGATGTCGCGCCGGCACCATAAGTGGCGAAGGTTATCAAAAGCGCCTCGAGATTTTGCTATACGGTTCGTTAGCTCATCTCATCATCCCACGGGCGCTGATACAGATTCCCAGGTAGTTGAATGTTTGAACGACTTCTAGCTGATCCCCACCAAGAGTCCGCGTAGGAGACGGTCCAGACCAATCTTGGAGTAACACTTTGCAATTCAAGGATGTGAAGCAAAGCCCGAAGTGACGGACATCCAAAGTTAATCTGTCCAGTGCAGCTTGGCACGTTTGTGAGCTGTCACAGATTAGCGCAATATCGTCACCATACTCCAAGTCAAGAAGTAGTTCTCATGGGAGCAGATCCACATCTTCTAAGTCGTGTCCTGTGAACGCGATTTCCATGACTTCGTCAAAAGCGGGGAACACGACAAAAGTGGGTCGCCAATATATGTGACGGTGCTCCAACAACTGACGCAAAGTGAAGATGTGGTCAATGCAGCCACGACCTCGACGAAACCCGGCTTGCTCTTCACGAATATGGCTTTCACGAATGCCAGCCAATCTGAGAAAGATGACAGAGGCAAGTAATTTGGAGGCTTTGGAAATCGGACTGATTCCTCTATGCTTGCGGCATTCGGATCGAGAGCCTACCTTGAAAATTGGGACTATGACGGAGCGGCTCCAGACGTTTGGGACAGTTTTCTGCTCCCACAGTTTCACTAGTAATTCGTATAAATCATCCACAAGAGCAGGTCCCCCTGAATTTGAAGAGGGTTGGAGGAAGATCATTTGGTCCCGTGGCTTTATTTAACTTCAACAGTCCGATCTCACATTTGACTTCTGAGCGACAGGGCGGATTCAAAGCGACAGAACAGGGAAAAGGGCGATCACTGGCCAGAGAGGAATCTGACAATTCCGACCGATTAAATTGCCTTTCAAAGTGCTCAGCCCGATGCTCCAAGCGTCTTGATAAGTTGTGGATAGACTGTCCACTCTCACCACAAATTGTTTCACTAACACCAGGTCTCATGCTGCCCGTTTCCCGTATCAGACGGAATAACTTACCGATGTACAGCAAGAGTAGCGGCTACTTCCATCTCTGACGCACGAAGACACCATCAGGATTCGCGGTCACTCTTCAGGATAGCACGGAGTTTTTCTCGAAGTCTTCTGCGTGTCTCATTGTGTTCGCCTCCAGCCGGAATGTGCCGGTGAGAATTACTAAGTTCCAAGGACGGCGAAGAGACCCAATGTCGACGTTAGCGATTAGACTTACCACATGAGGATTTGCTTGCTGCTAGTAAGGTCTGGTGAACATGAGATCAGTGACATTCAATTGCATCCTGTGAACACTTGCTCAACCCGCATGACAGCGTACTTTGATAGGCATTCAGAACAGCTTGTTTCGTCAGTTGGCTGGTGTCAATGTGCTCACAGCGTCGTCGTGGGCGTCCGCCAAAACGAATCCGCATGTCAGCACATACAAGCGCATGGTCGGCGTCCACACATGTGCTCCAAATCGAGCGGCAATTCTGGATGCAGCCTCTCCAGTGGTAACTTATTGCAATGTGATCGATTTGCGTCCATAGCTGGTTCGAGGCTGGTGGGCGCCAAGTCACTCTCCAGCGGGTGCTGTGTCGGAAATTAGTGCTCGCATGAAATAAGCGGGTATCTTCACACAAATGAAGTAACCGCTCACCGTTATCATTACGGGAGCCTACACCATGTTGGCCGCCTTGATGCAGATCTTCAGTGGATAATTTTCCAACTTGAGCCTTCAGATCCGCAGCCAGCACTACAGTGTACGAGCTTCTTCTGTGGCGAAGGAGCTCGTTCAGTTGACGGTAGAAGTTGTCTTTTACCGAGTCATCGCTAGAGTTTTTGGGGTCATAGGCAGCGATAACAAATAGACACCTATTAGTCACACGCGACTTCGAAGCTTTGAACGAGCCAGCCAATCGGACCGCACACATCCGGCTACTGATTGGAATCCAATCAACCAGAGCAGCTTCAACCCAGGGACTCAGGGTAATACCAACACCGGCTTGGTCGGTGCTCGAAGCTGCATCGTCATCGGATAAGCGTAACGAGAAACTGCTGCTAGTGTCGCCTGAAGGAGATAGCAAAGTGAGCACAGAGCTCAAGTATTGCAGGCGGGTTTCCGATATGCAGCAGATATCAATCGATAGGGCCTCTAATGTTCGGGCAAGTGCTGCCTGTTGACCGATCTGTAGCAACGTGCGTACACTGAGGCATGCCAATCTGAAGGATGATCGAGGGCTCCAAATGGAAGCCGAGGAAATGGGCTTGGCCGCTTGCTTGGGCATGGGCTTGTTGACAGGAGAGGAGTGACCCTCCGTGTTCACATGCGAGTTGAAACTAGAAGATAAACGCCTATCAAAGTATATTGTGGGAGGGCCAAGGATCGGGGGGTTGAAAACAGGAGGGATAAAAGTGAAGCTGGAATGGGTCGATAAGGGTGAAAAAGAGTAAGAGGGGAAATAAGAAGATAGGAAGGTTTGAGCAATAGCATTAAATCCCCTATCCACCCAGAGCGATGCAGCAGATAGGGCACCGTTGATTATCCTCTCCGGTGGCCAGTGCATCAAGAAATTGTTTGGGGAAGGATTCATAGTATTGCGTGGGTAGATACTGTCAGGTTGCCCAAGCCTAGAGAGGAGAACGATTAGGGTTCTCAACCAAAGTCTTTGGTTCGAAAACCTGACTGCAAGGCAGCGAGTTTGGCGTTGGGCTACACAGAGTCCGTTTTAAGGAATAAGGAGCTACCCTCATTCCAACCCCAAATTGGAGGACCAGGAGGCTGTGTTTGTCTGGCCTGTAACCATTGACGAATCTGGTGTGAGTGGTTCTGAAGATGCAAAGAAAAATACCACCCAGCATAGCTCAATGGATCACTGAGGCACACAAACCATCACATCACGGTAAGGTCCAGCCTCATTGTGATCAGTTACCGCTGGAGAGGTTGCGTGCAAAACTGTGGTTCGATTTAGAAAGCATGTGTAGCCACTGACCATGCACTTGTATGTGCTGAGGTGTTGGTGCGTTTTGGCGGACGTCCTCGACGACGTTGTGAGCGCATGGACACTAGCCAACTGGTGAAGCCAGGTCTGAGTGCGTATCGAAGTACGCTGGCATTCGGGGTGATTAATCGCTCACTGAATACGGTTGAAGGTCACTGGTCGCATGTTCATCAGACTTGACCAGCATCAGGTAAATCCTCAAGTGATAAATGCAATAGCCAGCATGGACATTGGGTCTCTTCGCAGTCTCTGCCATTTAACGATGCTCGCCGGCACGTTCCATCTGGAAGCCACCATGAAACTCGCAAAGAGCTCAGGGCGAAATTCCGTGCTAGGCTTAAGAGACACCAGGAATCCTGGTGGTCTCATCGTGCGTCAGAAATGAAAGTGGCCACCGCTCTTGGAAGTTAATCTGTCTGATAGGAGAAAGGGGGAGAAAGAGACCTAGTGTTAGTGAAACTATTTATGACGAGAGTGGACAGCCTATCCACAACTTGTCAAAACGCATAGAGTGTTGGGCTAGGCCCTTTGAAAGGTAAGTTCATCAGTCGGAATCGGTAGATTTTACGCCGGCCGCAGATCCTCATGCTCTCTGGAATATTCCATTGGATCCGTCCTCTCGCTCAAAAGTCGAAGATGAGATCGCAATGCCAAAGTTGAATAAGGTCGCGGAACCATATGTTCTTTATCCAACTATCTTCAAATTCGGGAGGGCGGCTCTTGTTGATGATTTACACGAGTTACTATACCTTTTCTCAATTCGTTGCATCGTACCCCCAAATGTTTGCACCCGTGACGCTTGAAGCTGCACCGCGTGCGTCATGTGACACGTTGCACGTGTGCACTCGTGTGTGCTATACTCATGGACTGTGTTCGCGACGTGAGATCGATCACGTGATCGCCTTGCCACCAACCTTTTTATCCAACTACGACAGCTAATCAGGTTCAGGTTCAGTATGTGTGCAACATGCTTCCAATCGCGTCCATCTCCATAAGTCTTGAGTATTATATTCTTCACTTCCGCCGAGTGCCGCGTACGAGTGCCCTTTGTGATATTCGGAGCAGAGCAAGCTGTTGCACTAACTGCACGGTTCCACTCAACTTGGCGTGCCTATGGAGTTAACTTCACTGCTACGTTAGTCACCGTACCAGTGCAGTCGGTGGCAAGGCGAGCACGTGATCTCACGTCGCGAACACAGTCCATGGGTATGACTTATACGAGTGCACATGTGCAACGTGTCACATGACGCACATGATGCAGCTTCAAGCGTCACCGATGCAAAAACATTTGGGGTAACGATGCGACGAAATGAGAAAAGGTATAATGAAACCGTTAGAGCAGGAAACTGTTCTAACCGACCGCAGCCGCTCCGTTAAAGTCCTAATTTTCAAGGGACGCACACGTTCGAAATGCTGCAATCAGAGGAATCAATCTGATCCCATCACCACCGAATTTCTTGCCGCTGTCATCCTCCACAGAATA